GTCAATCAGAATGCCAGGTGCACTGCGGGCTGCGCCATATCAAGCGTGGTGCAAGCCGAGTAAGATCACGACGAGGCTTGAGCAAAGAATAGGGAAACGCAGGGGGAGATTCCGATTGATGATCGGCAAGAGAGGGGTATAGTAGCGATCTGTAGTCCTTGCCTTGTCTGCTTCACGTGGGTTGGCAAGAGCCCAGTGCTTCAAGATCCTCCAATGGCTTGCCAGATTGCCATCGAATCACCAAACGACAGGATTGGACTGCAAGACAGGGCTAGATCAGAGCATGAAGCGTCGCGGCCAGAGCGATGGACTTTGAGCGGATGAAAGGACTGCAAGGAGAGATTGAGCCACGCTTCAGCCTCGGTGCTTCTGCTGCTTGCTTCATGTTGTTTGACGGAGATTTGAGGAGATTTGATCACCGCATGATTCCATGGCAGAGCAGTTTCGACAGATAGCGATGTGCTCAGCGAGGTGTGAAGTGCCTCATGATAGGATACAGGCGTGCCAGCTCCTCGCCAGCAGGCATTGAATAGGACCGAATGGCTCAGCTCGACTCGCGTAGAGCGTCTTGGAGAGCATCGCCGGTCTGAGCATCCAGCACCTGCTCTTTGCTGGCACTGCTGAGTTCCCTTTCCGTGCTCGTATTCATCCTATCCACCTCGTCGTTCATCCTATCCAACCACCTCTGCAACAAGTTTGCATTGTCCCTCTTCAGATCCTCGTTTCTCATCTCGATCTGGTTCAATTCCAAAGTCAATCCCGTCAATTCGTCTTGAAGCATCTCTACCAATCTGCTCTTTTCCACCATCGCATCTTGAAGATCTTTTTCGCTTCGACGCGATCGATCCAATTCCCTGTTGAGCTGCTCCACGGCCAATGTGGACTCGCCGTAAGAGGCTTCCTTGCTGCTCAGAAGATCTGTGAGGCTCAAGAGGCGCTGAGCATTGGCGGATTGCGTCTTGTACATTTCTGTCAGCTCTGTGCGCGCTTGCTGCAACTGCTGCGAGAGCCTGAGAGGGAGCGTAGTGCAGACGCGTCATCTGGCGTCAGCCCCTGTGGCCAAGGCGATCCTCACATCCATCCGCTCGCCTTTCAACTCACTCTTCGGCGGAGCCGCGAGCAGCGTCTGCTGCGGAAGGGGGTTTCAAAGCGCTGGTGACGGGCGGCTGAGGTACTGGCGGTGCAGTAGGGGCAGCGGCCACGGCGATGCCGCTTGTGCCACTGCTTGAAGCTTTGGCTCTGAGACTGGCAGCATAGCGCGACAGCTGTTGAACTGCGTCAAATATTGGATGAGAGGATGGACACGCTGAATGGAGGGCAAACTGTGTAGAGGAGCAAGAGGAGCCTCTATCTTCGCTCGACTCACAATCAGCTACTACACCATCCAGCGCTGATTCTCTGGCATCCCTTTCTTGAAGACGTTGGCCTATCAACTGACTCCAGGACATGCTGCCGTTGTTGCTCGCGCCAAGCGAGGGCGCTGCTGCTGTAGGTAAGAGAAGGTGGGTAGACATGCGTTCTCGCTGGCTGTGCAGCGCGAGTCTGAAAGGGAGAGGGTGGACGTGAGATGGAGGAATGATGGGTGATGAGATGCTTGTATGCGAAGCGATACACGCCGACAGTGACGAGCTGCGAGTAAACGAGGCTTGGTGTCGCAACGAGTCAAGTAGGTGAAGGTCAGGGGAGGTGAGGAGAGAATGAAAGAGGGAGCGCAGATCTGATCTTGATTCGGCGAGCACTACCAAGTGATCAAGAGAACAAGGATCTGAGTCGAGAGTCGCGCGTGAGATTAGCAGCCACAGCCACCACGGTATTTGCCGATTCACGTGATTGAGATCGAGGGGGCGCAGGTTCAATTCACATTCGTGATTCCCACGCACGCGCCTCACATGCATGCATGCGATGCGCATCATGGGCGTTCGAAGCGAGAATAAGCATATACCGTACACACAACAGACCTAGCTTCACCTCCCTCCCCGAGGGCAAGTTTCGAACTTTTGAAAGCGCTGCCCTATCAGTCACGAGTC